GGGGGGGGGGGGGGCGCGGGGCGCGGCGCTCCTATCTCGCCCTTCCAGCCGGGGGCGTCCTCACTTAGGGGCACGGCCCGGCGATCAAAACAGTCTGTTGTTCAGGCCCGTTTGTCGGCAAGCCATCATCCACCCGGCGCCGCGCCTGCCTACCCGGGGCGTGAAAAGCCCCCCGCCTCGGGAGGCCGGGGGGGGTGAGGGGGCGGAAGCGGCCTGGCGCTTCGAGGGAGCGCTTTCCCAGCCGGGGCCATCCCCCCCCCGCCTCGGTCGCTCACTCATGCTGCCACCTCTGCGTGCCTTCGCGGCCAGGCTCACGTAGCCCCGGAAACGCGGCCCGCGTGAATGCCCGGGCCCGGCGAACAGCCGCAGATAAATATATGCCCGGATGTGATTGACTGCAGGGGTGTGTGAGTGCAAAGATGCATGCGTGCGTACCTGTGTGCGTGCGTGCGTGCGTGCGTGAGTGCGTGTGTGAGTGCGTGCGTGCGCGCATAGACGCACGCGCGTGTGCTTACGTAGGGGTTGGGCGCGGGCGCGCCTGCTTGGCTGCCCCTCCCGCCCGGCCCTCCCCGAGCATGTGGGCACGCCTTGGCCAACTTCGGGTACGACCGGCGCGCCCGGGGGGCCGGGGCGGGGGGGGTGCCGTGGAGGGGCCGGGGAGCTTTCTCATCGCCCAGGACGCCCGGCGCCCGGCTGGCCTGCTGCGAATGGGCGCGCGGGAAGCCGCCGAGGTTGGTTCACGTTTCACCTCGGCGTGTGCTTCCTCGCTCTCGCTCCCCTTCTTTCTCTCTCTCTCGCTCTCTCGCTCTCTCTCTCTCTCTCTCTCTCTCTCTCTCTCTCTCTCTCCGCGCGCCGGGGGGGTGGTGCGGGTGCGGGGGGCGTGGGGGGCGTCCCCCGGGCCCCTCCCCCGCGCCGATCGTCTCGCCCTTGGGGAAGTGTGCGGGGGGGGGGGGGGGGGCCTGCCGTGAACCGGCACTGATCGCGCCTACCTGGCCCGATCGCGCACCGGAGCCCAGGAGGGCATGTCTGTGTGGGCGTGCGCGCACAGCTGTTACCCGGGTGCTGGTGCGCTCATTCGTTCTCCGCACCCCGGAAATGGGTCTCAGCACCCGTCCCCAGGGGTCTCTGAGTGGGCGTGGGCGTGGGCGGGTGCGCCGCCGCCCCCCCGCCCCCGCCCCGGCCCATGTGCATTCCTTCCTAGCCGGGCGGCTGGCCCGGTCCAGAAAGCCCGCTTGGACCCGTCCCGGTCGGTGCTGGTGGCGCCTCGGCTCGATCGGACCTGGGTGGCCGCGCCGGGCGATCGTGCTGGCGCAACCTCCCCCCCTCCGGCGAGGGTTCCCGAGGGGTGGAGGAGGCCGGGGGCGGTGTGTGTGTGTGTGTGTGTGTGTGTGTGATGAGTGCGATCCTGGGCGCAGCTCGGCCTTCGCGGGGGTGGGGGCGGGG